ACTTCCACTTTTTCTTCTTCTTCTTCTTCTTCCACTTCTTCTGCTTTTTCAACTATGCTTCGAGTGCTTTGTTAAGGATTTAAAAAAAAGGAAGAAAGAAGGGAAAAAGGAAAAAAAAAGGAAACAATCCCGAAGGCACGGCTTCTCTCTTCTCTTCCCTTTGCGTTAGTCAGGAAGTGTTTGTTCCTCGTCAAAAATTCCTTTTCTTCCTCATTGTACGGACGGACGAACACGAATCAAATGGACAAATGGAGGAGGCGCGGAGGTGGGAAATAAAAATGAAAAAATTGCTCGTGTATGTTTGCGTTCAAAAAAAAAAAATAAAAAAATAAAAAAAAGGAAGGAAAGAAAAGAAAAAACAATAAGCGTATAAAGTCTTAATAATGCGAATGATATGATCTCTTTTTTTTCCATTGATTTTAATTGGAACAAATATTTTGTCTTTTTCTTTCCTTTTTTTTTTTTTTTTTTTTTCTTCTTTTCTTTTCTTTTTTCTTCTTTGAGAGGTCTCTCAGGAGTTCGAAAATTTTGAGAATATTTATCGAAATGTCGATATAAATATGTATATATATATATATATATTTTTTTTTATTTTTTTATTTTTGATATAATATATTTTATTTTTTATACGTAAACTTAATATTATGTAATTATATTAATATGAATGATATCAAAACTCACGCGCTATGTATAAATTTTTTTCTCATTAACAATGGCAAAAAAAGATTTTGTGATTTAAAATATATGGGAGATCAATTAATTTTGTTCGTTCATTCTATACGAATATTTATACATGTAAATATAGGTACGTGTATATTAACGATTATAATCGCATAAGATTTCTTTTCTTTTCGTTTCTTCTTTTTTTTTTTCTTTTCCCCTCATTTTTTTCTTTCTTCAATTACGAACGTTTTACCAAAGAAAAAAGAGAGAGAGAGAGCGAGAAAAGAGAGAGAGAGAGAGAGAGAGAGAGAGAGAGCGAGAAAGAGAAAGAGAGAGAGAGGGAGAGAGAGAGAGATAGAAGAAAGACATTGAATATGTAATAAAAAAACGGTAGCGTGAAATACGCTTAAATCCTAATAACCATATTAAATTATTAGATTTGAACATCGGCAAACCTTTGTAGTTATCATAGATTTCATTTGCGATAATATTACGATGCAAAATTCATAATTACCGTACTTATCGATATATATATATATATATATATATATATATATATGTATGTATGTATGTATGTATGTATAGTATGTATAGTATGTATAGTATTGATGTTGCTTTTAAGATTGATAAAGAAGAAAAAGCAGAGTAAAAGAAGAACACGTATATACATACATACACATACACATACACAAACGAACGTGCACATAGGACATTCATAGGCATTAAAAGAGGAAAAAGGAAAAAAAAATGAGGGGAAAAAGAAGAAGAAAAAAAAAAAAAAGAAAAAAAAGAAAAGAAAAAAAACTATCGATTTAAACGTTTCTTACAGATGATATGCGATAGGAAATGATCAGCAAAGCGATGACAACGCGTTACGATTCAATATCTCGATCGATCGGTAGATCGATCGATGAGATCTATCGGATCGTTGATGATAGTTGATATCGATGACAAAGAGAGATCTCTCAGGTAGCAACGAATGGCTTGTAAGAAGATGAAGGATACTAAAAGTCCTTTAAAATAAAACAGGTAGAAGAAAAACGAAACGAAATTGAAAGAAAAAAAAAATAAAAAATAAAATACAAAACAAGAAAGAGAGAGAGAGAGAGAGAGAGAGAAGAAGAAGAAGAAGAAGAAGAAGAAGGAAAGATAAAAAATGGTGACAAAGCCGGATAGAAACGAGCGCGCGAAATAATTGCCGAGGTGTCCGCAGATTAAAAGCCGTGACAGTGCTGCTTTCAGCGATTACTCTTACCCGTAACGACGTAATTAAATCCTGCAATGAACGTTTGTCTAGAAACATCCTTTTCTATCTATCTATATATCTATCTGTCTATCTCTCTTTCCCTCTCACTCTTTCACTCACTCTTTCTCTCTCTCTCTCTTTCACTTACTCTTTCTCTCTCTCTCTCTCTCTCTCTCTCTCTCTCTCTTTATTTCTCTTTTTATCTTTCTCTCTCCTTCTCACTCTTTATTTCTCTTTTTATCTTTCTCTCTTTCTCTCTCCTTCTCTCTCTTTCTCTTTCTCTCTCTATCTATCTCTCTCTCTCTCTCTCTCTTTTTTTTGTTCTTTGTCTTTCTTACGTAAGTACGTCGTAACACTCATGTTAAAATATTAAAAGTTATCACAGGTAGAGAATCAATAAAACCAGTCGAATTGTTCCAACGTTATCGCTGCACTTTTCTTTATATGTTTAGTCCGACTCTGATAAGGGAAAAAAAAAAAAAAAAAAAAAAAAAAAAAAGAAAAGAAAAATCAAATCGAAATGCGACTCGTATAAAATTTAATTTTGTTACTCGTCGATCAAATAAAGATTTTTGCTATTTAAAATCTTTAATCGACGATAATCGACGATAATTATATATAACTATTGGAAATCACTTTTTTTTTTTTTTTTTCACTCGTCATAGGTTTAACAAAATAAGGTTATTAATATAAAAAAAAAAAAAAGAATTAAAAAATAATACGAAATAATAAAAAATGATAGAATTAATTGAATAATTTTGTTCGATTAAATTGGATTGAATTGATCGAAATTAATAAAATGAACGATTTTTTTTTAACGCGAATATTTGCGAAATTCGTTGAAATCGTTTTATAAGTTCTGGCTCGTTTCTCATTAACTCCCACCTCCCTCCTCTTCGTCGCAGCACCCTCTCTCTCTCTCTCTCTCTCTCTCTCATTTTTTCTCTCTCTTTTTATCTCTCTCTTTTTATCTCTCTCTATCTCTGTCTTCCTCTATCTTCCTCTGTCTAAGTATAATTCATCGTACTAACGACGAGGAAGGATTTTTTTCTTCCGAGAGAGAAAGCGAGAGAAAGAGAGAAAGAGAGAGAGAGAGAGAGAGCAAGAGAAGGAAGAGACTTAAGTATACAAGGAGGCGGGAAGGGTGGCGGGGGTGGAAGTTAAAGTCATCTCTAAGAATGCAAAAGCGGCAATGCATATCTCATTTCTAACGCGGAGAAGTAACACACGAACATAGAAACGAACCCACGCCTGCGTGTATACGTAGAAAGAGATAGAGAAAGATAAAGAGAGATAGATAGAGATAAAGAGAGAGAGTGAGAGAGAGAGAGAGAGAGATGATAAAACGTATAGGCTTTTGTGGATTTTCCGGTTTCTCTGGTGGTTGGCAGTATGGAGGACAAGGAAGGAAACAGGAAATTGTGTCCGAGGACGTTGCACGTGAGGTACATGCCCGATGAGAATTGTCCCGATCTGGCCCGTCGTTTTTAAACCGGGAAATTCTTCCTTCCACGAATTCCTCTTCTGTTTTTCTTCATTTTCTTCTTCTCCATCTTATATTTTTTCCTTTCTTCTTTTCTCTCCTTTTCTTTTTTTTTTTTTTTTTTTTTGTCGATTTCAAAACTCTCACTCTCGGCAAATCGTATTTTCTTCCATAAAGCGATCGAAAGAAATAAATCGATGGGGGAGAGAGGATGGAAAGGCGGGCGGGGGGAGGGGGCAATCCTTTTAATTAAACGACGACAAAATTGAGAATTAAATAAATTATTGACTTGAAATATTTATCGGGATGGTAATCGATAATTTTATATATATATCTCAATTCCTTTTAATCGCCGTTGTTTGTATAAAAAGGAAATATTTTTCCTTTTCTTTTATCTTTTTTTTTATCTTTTCTTATCTTTTTTCTTTTCCTTTTTCAGTTCTTTTTTTTTTCTTTTTTTTTTCTTTTTTTTATCGTTTTTTCGTTTTATCCATCACAAGACTTTACTTCTCTAATATCGTGCTAAACATTTTCCCGTTACGAGATACGATCGAAAGAAAAGAAAAGGCGTAAGAGAGGAGGTGAGATGGGGGGAAAGTACAAAAAAAATCGCAGAACAAAAAAGTCAATGAAAAAGGTAATCGAGAAAAATCGTTTAATTAAAATATGTTAAATAAATTAAAGAGGAGAGGTTTATCATTATATATGGACGGTCGTTTCGAAGGGAAGTCAACGATAAATTTTGAACTTCCTTTTCTCCTTAGTCTTCGTCATTTTCTTATCTCTTCGTTTATTGCCAAGGAACGACGACGTCGACGATGACAACGACGACGACGACGACGACGACGACGACGACGACGACGATAACGACGACGATGAGAAAAAAAGGGGAGGAGATAGAAGGATATCGAAGAGGACGAGGAGGAGAAAGAGTAGGAAGAGAATAGAACCAAAAAGGAAACGGAACAAACAAACAAAGAAGAAAAAAGAAAAAAGAGAGAGAGAGAGAGAGAGAGAGAGAGAGAAAAGAAAAAAAAAGAAAAGGAAAGAAAAAAAAAGACAGGACGAAAGAGAAAAAGAAAACGTGAATTATAATTAGCCATCATTGTTAGGGAGAACGATGAATATGGTTGGGGTGAGGTGGGGTGGAAAGGGAGAATATTTTATAGGGGCTATATAATAACCTAGGTTGACCATCGATCCAACCGTACGTTCGTTCGTTCGATCGATCGATCGATCGTTCGATCGATCTAAGGATCATATTTTTCTTTAAAAGGGGTGGACGATGGAAGAGGGAAGAGAGGATGGGGGCAGGGTAGGGCGGGGATAAGTTACGAAGGACGGGCGTGCGTCATAGTCATTTTCCAACGCTAATGACATATTATACGTTACCTCGCGCGAATAATTGTCTCGTAAATTCATCTTTTATCTTTTTTTCTTTCTTTGTTTTTTTCTTTCTTTTTTCTTTTTTTTTTCCTCCCTTTCCTTTCTCTATTATCTTTTCCTTTCATCTTTTCTTCTTTTTTCTGCTTTTTCTCTTCTTTTTTTTTTTTTTTTTTATTTTTTTATTTTTTTATTTACCTTTCACTCCTGATTCTATCTTTGCAGACTCGAACGAGAAAATACAAAACAAGATTAAGAGACGACGAGAATAAATTAACGAAGGATAAGGGTGACGAAAAAAAAAGAAAAAAAAAGAAGAAAGAAAAAATTGGAGGTGAAACCGACGAGATGATGCATTCGAATTAAACGGGAGCGTGAGTTTTTTGTTATATTATAATATTATATTATTGATATTTCTTACAATGAATACTTATATCTTTTGTGATGATGTTAGGGTGTGATTGAAATAAACGATCGAGCTTTTATATCATTGTTATTATAGTTTTTCTTAAGAATTAATGATGATCGTATTAAGGGTTATTAAAGTTCGGTCAGATATTTCTTCAAAAACATATCCCTGTATTTATAAGATCCTTAAACATTTTTTATAATTACAAAAATCAAATGAATATTCTTCTACGTATTTTTAATACACACATATATATATATATATATATATATATATATATTTATTTTTTCTTTTTAATTATTATTTTTGTTTTTCGGTATCTCTAACAACAATAATAACAATATATATATACACATAATACCTGTTGAGAATTTTTAACGATCATAAAAATTAAATGAGTATTCATGTATTTTTGATTTGCATACTCAATAATCAATTTTAATTAATAACCAAGAAAAAATAAAAAAAGGAAACATATAATCATGACTTTTATATAGTCATACATATTATTTATATATATATCTATGGGTAAATATTTATGTATGGTTACAAGATTATATATAGAAGTATATAGATATATTTTATTTCAAATATGATAACAAGTCAATCATTCGTAATGATGAATTATTTCAATTGCTTTTTATTAATTTTTAATTTACAAATGATATTAAAAAAAAATAATTTCATTTTCTATATCGTTCAAATAAATTATCTACAAATAATATTTTTATTTTAAAATTAATCCGTTTGAAATGAAAATAACAAATAAATTCGATTAAATCAATTGTCAAACTGAAAATAATATTATTATATGTATCGAGCTTCAATCCTTCGAAAGATATTCCTTTATTTTAAGATTCAATTGACAATAATCGATGTTCATAGAATCAAAAATAAAAGTGAAACACATTTTATCTCATATCAATTTCTAAAATAACGTGATGATTTAGAATTGAGAGAGAGAGAGAGAAAGAGAGAAAAAAAAGAAGCCAAAAAACATTTATCTCTTCAATTAAATTAACAAGTGATTATATTCAAATAACATGTAAATAAGCTAAATAATAATAATATATCATCTTACTGCGATTATTTTTTAAATACTTTATTCAGATAATGCTCAAGATCGTATATATATATATATATCAAAAGCAATAAAGGGCAAAGAATTAAATTGCATTTGGACTGTTAATTAGGTACTAAATTATCCGATGAAACGATGATGCGCTTAAATTCTACCTGCATATGTACACACACATACACACACACACACACACACATACATACATACATACATACATACAGGCATACATACGTATATACGAAAAACAGAGGGGTAAAACGTGTAGACTGTGTTTAAAAAGGCGTGCCCAAACGAACTTGAAAGAGTAAAGCAGGTGCCTGCGTTCGTCCATCCATCCATCCATCCGTCCGTCCGTCCGTCCGTCCGTCCGTCCTTGCGTGCGTGTATACTGCTGCAACGGCAGAAATAGCAACAGCAATAGCAACAGCAACAGTAACAGTAACAGTAAGACCAGCAATAAGCATCGGGAACAGTACTACTCCGGTGGCAGTACCTGATCTGGTGCGTATCCTCGTCAGGCTGGAAGGGCCGGTTGGTTGATCGAGCATCCGATCTGCGATACTTTTGCTGAAGAAATCGAACTCTTCTTATCCTCACCTCACCTCACCTCACCTCACCTCACCTTACCTTACCTCATCTACCATACCATACCTTACCTTACCTTACCTTACCTTACCTTACCTTACCTTACCTTACCTTACCTTACCTTACATTACCTTACCTTACCTTACCTTACCTTACCTTACCTTTCCTTACCTTATTTTACCTTACCTTACTTTACTTTACTTTACTTTACTTTACCTTACCCTACCCTCACCTTACCTCACCTCACCTATCGTCTCATCTCGTCTCGTCTGGTCTCGTCTCGTCTTGTCTCTTTTCTTCTCTTCTTCTTTTCTCTACCATACGTCTGATCATCCTTCGAGGTGACTCCATGTGGACGAGTTTCAAGAAAGGGAGGTACTATGGTGCTGAGTACTGCTGGCTGCTGGCTGGTTGCTGGCTGGTTGTTGGCTGGTTGCTGGGAGATTCTGTGTTCATGGGGACTGAGAATGTCAGGTGCTGAGGAGTAGCTGGGCAGAGGGAGATGGAGGGAGGAGAGGGGGAGGGGGTAAGGGCAAAGAGGGAACACCACCAAGGAAGATATCTCGTTTCCTTAGTATGGAAATTAGCGAGGATCGCTTCTTCGAAGACGTTAATTCCATTAACGGATGTTTTCACGGCCGCCGAATCCCGTTTTTACGGTCTTTCGTTAACTCACGTGAAGAAGAAGAAGAAGAAGAAGAAGAAGAAGAAGAAGAAGAAGTGGAAGTAGAAGAAGTAGAAGAAGATGACGAAGAAGAAGAAAAAGAAGAAGAGAAGAAGAAGCCGGTAGTAGTCGCGTTAGTAGCGCAATAACTTAGTTCCTTTCCCGACAGCCTTTATGCATAATCCTGGAGAAGAAGGGGATAACCGGGGTGAGAGGAAGAGGGTGGAGGGGCTGGGGAATTAAGGGGAGTAGGTGAAGGGGAGGAGGAGAGAGAGAGAGAGAGAGAGAGAGAGAGAGAGGGTAGATACAGGAAAGGACGAGAAAGCACTCATCACCGGCCCATAATAGAGGTACGCGTTGAGAGTAATTGACGAGCGGGGATCGACATTGTATGTTAAAAGGGGCACCCATGGTCTCTCTCTCTCTCTCTCTCTCTCTCTCTCTCTCTCTCTCATCGTCGACGTGGAAAGGCGAATTTCTCGCGATTATTAACGGGCTTCGGGGAAGTATTATATATCGAGAGAAAATTGTATCCTCTACTCTTCCTTCCTTTCTCTCTCTCTCTCTCTCTCTCTCTCTCTCTCTCTCTCTCTCTCTCTCTCTCTCTCTCTCTCTCTCTCTCTCTCTCTCTCTCTCTCTCTCTTTAGTTTCTTTCACGGGTTTTAACGCGTCCGCTCAGTTTCTTTTTTCTCTTTTTTCTCTTCGGGGTCTTTTTTTTTTTTTTCTTTTTTCTTTTTTTTTTTTAATGATCCTTTTTTATTTATTTATTTAATTTTTTCTTTCTTATCTTTTTCTTTTTCTTTTTCTTTTCTTTTCTTTTCTTTCTTTCTTTCTTTCTTTCTTTCTTTCTTTCTTTCTTCGTCGTGCTTCGTTTCGTTTTGTTCCGTTTCGGTTGCCTCAGAAGATGACGATGCTCAACTTAATGTCGACCTTGAGCAAAATTCGCGCTCAGTATTATTATTGACGTGTTTATTATATAGCAAAAGTTCGTTCGTCTAATTCTAATTTGTTCACAATGATCTGTGAGAGTATGGATTGAGAGAGGGTTGAAACGAGAATGGTGATGAGGATAGAAGATGGGAGGGGGGAGGATAGGGGATAGGGAATAAGGGATATATGAAAAGGGAGAGACAAGTGTAAAGTGTCCTTATTCATTATCATTTTTGTTCAACGAAGCATAATCATTTTTCGATCCTGTTCCGTTCGCTATATACTCCCGATAAAAAGAACATTCACGTACATCACGTGAACGAGATTTTCTTCTTCTTCCTTTTTATTTTTTTTTTTTTTTTTTTTGTCTTTTTCCTTTTCTTTTTATTTCCCTTTCCCTTTTTCCTTTTTCTTTCCGTTTCTTTATCTTTCCTTTAACGTAGAACAAATGATAAAGGATTATAATTATATGTGAACGTAATTAGTCGAATAGGGACATACATACGTATAGATTTACATTTAACACATACACACACACACACACATATACATATATATATATATATATATATATATTATATTATATTATATTTATTCACTTAAACGTATTAAAGCATATACATACGTAAAGACGATGTTTCTTCTTTCGGAAAAGATTTCGTCGGATGTGCTTATTCGAGCGAAATTTCACTCCGGCGGACATAGCGGATAAACCTCTCCTTCCTCCGTCGTCGTTAAGGCACAGCGAGAGGACGAAAAAACGAAGCATCAGAGAGAAAGAGAGAGAAAGAAAGAGAGAGAGAGAGAGAAAGAGAGAGACTTTGAGACACGGAGGTCGATGCACCATACGACGACGGGGAAAAGAATGTCCGAATCGATTCGCGTCTCTCTCTCTCTCTCTCTCTCTCTCTCTCTCTCTCTCTCTCTCTCTTTCTCTCTCTCACTCTCTCAGTAAAATATAATACGGTATAACCCACGAAGAAGAAAATATCCTGCTGAGAATTTGAAGGATAAACTTGTGGCGATTAATACGAGACGAAAGAAATTGGTTAAACTCTATTTCGTAGTAGTAGTAGTAGTGGTAGTGTTAGTGGTAATAGTTGTAGTAGTAGTAGTAGTATGGGACTGATCAAACGAGAGAATTAATGGGCTTTACGATAAATCGTAAAATACCAAGTATAACCCCCCGCCAACTCCACCCTATCCTAACCCTAAGCCCCTCTACTACTCAACCCTTCCCACTTGTACTCTCCTCTTCTCGTGCCTCTTTCGAGCGGTCTGTGAAAAAAAGATACTAAAAAGATTAAGGTTATACAAAAAAAAAAAAAAAAAAAAAAAAAAGGAAAAAAGAAAAAGAGAGAAAAAAAAGAAGAGGATAAAAAGAGTAGGAGGAGAAAGGAGGAAAAAAAATATAGCGATACCACTCGACAAGCTATATTATCATCGTCCTGTGTGAACGCACCACTGGGCAAGTATTTCGTTTAGATTTAGGTCCTACGCCCATATATACCGTCACCCCCTTTTTTCTCTCCCCCTTTACGCCCCACTACTCTCTTTACTCTCCTTGCCATTTTCTTTTTCTTCTTCTTCTTCCTCTTCTTCTTCTTCTTCTTCTTCTTCTTCTTCTTCTTCATCTTCTTCTACCACTTCTTCTTCTTCTTTTTTTCTTTCTTTCTTTCTTTCTTTCTTTCTTTCCTTCCTTCCT